AAATGGTGGTTTTGTAAAGGGAAACAGTATCACAAATGCATAATAAGGATGTTATAGGTTACGAAATGGTGGTGATTGGAAATAAAATGCAATCATCAATATTAACAGATGGCGTGGAGCTCTTAAAGTCTGACTATTCTTAAAATCATTTTGATGCTCTTCAGAGACCTTTTCATATACACTGGCATCCATTGTGAAGACCTCCATCTGAAATCTCGCTGCATTTTAACTTAATTCCACAAGATGTCCTCATTGGACACAAACACCTTCCTTAGTCTGTCAAGTAACCCTTAAGCCATAAACATTTGTCACCAGCTATGAGCTTATAACAGGCATGGCTGCTGCATGCTATCCAGTCTTTACTGTTCACTGGAAGGCCAATGAAGGGCTCAAATCTCAGAGATATACTTCACAAAAGGTGGGTTATATGACAGTACAAGGCACACAGTGCTATTTGTCTCAGTTTCCTATAAAGTCAGACAGACACCGAGTATCATCTTCAGCGTGTTGCCCTGGGGACACATTTCCCATGCTGCACCACTCTCTCTGCTTAGATGATCGATGTCACTTTTCAATGGAATTCCTGACAGGTGGGTCCGAGTTAGGATTCCTTTCAGGTAGAGAACAGCCAGGGTAGGTCTTCTACAAGATCACCTTTTTTTTTTTGCTGGGTACAAGTATTTAAATGCCCTTCTGCAGTGCATGGAAGATGTTAATGATTTGCTGGGTTGTTGCTATGATGGTCAATGCACTTCTCGTCCAAGAACAGCAAACACTGCCTTTTTGAAAGAGAAAACACTGGTTTTCACTCCACTGGACTCCGTTGTGTGGGAATAATACTACTTTGAGATTCAAGCCCACAAATACTCAACAGCGGTTCCACTGTGCTCTCATAAGACATGAAACATTTTAAAAGAAATATAAAATTCACCTGACTGACATGTTATTTGCACCAAAGTAGTTGTATAGAAATATGGTGTTTTGCAGAAATATTTCAGTGCACTCGCTCAAATGCAGAGCAAATGAACTGAGAGTTCTCAAGCTGTTGAACTGCTCCACAGCCAAAACTAGGTTGACAGTCAGTCACATCAGAAGTCAAATCTTTTCCTTTTGCACATATGACTTTAAACAAACTTGCTTGCTGGTGTTCAGGACTTGGGGGAATTGCAGTGCCTTTCAGGATCCTTATTTGTATGCACTCTAACTCAAGACATTCTAATAATAAACTGGGATTTCTATGTCGTTTCTGAAATTACAATAACCATTGCTGCATTACAAATGCATAAACACATCGAATGGTGAGTCAAATGACTGGGGAAATGCAGCCATGGACAGAGAGAGACAAGTGAGATGAAGTATGCGTATTACTGAAAATGGAAGCACTGTAAACACACTTATTCAACCCAATATACCTACCATAACACAAAAACAGGGCAAAAAAAACAGTGAACACTTTCTAGGTAGACTTCATTTTGCTGACTTAGAGTTTTAGTGGAAAAATTAGATGTTCTGTGAAAGAACAATGGTCAAAAAGATGACCAGCAATACTTACAAAGAAAGTTCTTCGCAAAGCATGAGGAGGGTTACTAGGACTGGACTGAATGCTGAGCCAAACCTGAAGACAAAGAACCAGAAGGAGAGCTCACTGTGAAACATGGGCGTGGCCCTCATTCTGGTTCTCTGGCACAGGTTGCTGGAACCACGACTAAATCAGAAGATAATAAACTGACACTCTGTGATTGTCTACACTTTGTTGAACAACAGCATTTAATGTCATTCTTCAGTATTACATATGCCTGCAGCATAGCTTTATATATATGCATTAGCTTAATAGGTACCGGCACTTCTGGCTTCCAATAAGTGCACGGTAGTGATAGGCAAATTAAGCTTCATGAACCAACTGCTGTATTTTCTGATACCATTAGATGGTGCTATCTGTTCAAAAAAGGCTCAGTTCATGTCTCAAAGCAAACCAAGAAGGCCATCTACTGGGAACAAAAATTACAGTAAAATTAAACTGAAAATCCGCGGTAGTTACAAGTACTTCGTTCTTTCATTAGTTATCTATTGTATGTATCAAGTAGGCTACATGTAATATTGCTGCATAAAATACAACCAAAAAACAAGCAAAAAGCACTGGTCAAACATCATTAAAGATATTTGTGACAGCCTCTGAAATATGCTAATGACAAAATGTTGCGTCTGAGGAGAACTTCAAACGTTTACTTTCAGAAAACCCACAAAGAATTAAACAAATGCCAGCCAACTACGTCCAAGATTTCCAGCATCTCAGCGCACTTAATTAAACACATACGTTTAACATTTGAGGTAATGGGATAGCCTTTCATGTTCCCGGGCAGAAAATCTTTAAATGTCATCTAATCAACACATGCTTTTACAATGTTGTTTGCAGGAAACGACAAATTGGATCGAGGCAATAATTCATGTAAAGTCAACGCCCTGTATTACATTAGGGTTTACAAATTAATCTACCGAAAGGGCGGGGGGGAATGCTCCCAGAGACGTGCATGCGGGGTATGGACGTGAGCATGAAAGGGATTTATTTCTGAATATCGACTAACCTTGCGCCATAACAAAACAATTCAATTTGGTTAAACAGCTCTCTTGAAAAGTTTAAAAGGGCATAAAATAATGACCATCGAGAATAAAACAGAAAAACAGTGGATAGTCCTAATCTGAAATACTTTCATAGTCTCTGTTAATGACACATGCTCAAAAACCTTGCGGCAAAGTTATTATTCATAATGGGTCATGCATTTATGCATACTGTACGTCTCATTTCCAATGCACCCTTTGCACACTTGCAAGTTTTGACTGATCTTTTTCCCGCTTTTTTCTGGCCCTAATTCCAAAATTATCATCTGAAAACACTACTCAAACATTGGATTTGAAGCTTTGATACAAACAATGTAAATGTCATTAAACGTATTGGTTAATTATTCCTATTCAAACATAATTAGTAAAACCAATGCATTTATAATGCAAAATTAAACTGAAAATCCGCGGTGAAGTAGTTACAAGTATTCCGTTCTTTCATTAGTTATGTATTGCATGTATCAAGTAGGCTACATGTAATATTGTGCACATTCATGCAAGGCTATTAGTATAGTGCGTTGTGAATTAAAAATATAGATGTCGGTTACCCAACACTGGAAATGTTTCACTACCAACAACAATATGAAGAATTGATCAAAACAGTTTGCTTAAAATTAGCATGTTGTTTTAAACAATAAACAGGCAAGCAAGCAAACAAACAAGACTACATTCATTCTGAAATTACATCTGACAGTATTGGTCTAGTTAAAAAAGAAGGCAGGCATGCAGAAAGTTTCACTTTCGTCGTACAGAACATGGCACACGAAAACTCCACTGTGCACACCTGTTGTTGCTTTTAATTTAGCATAAAGCTTTTATCCAAAGTGACGCACGTTTATAAGAAGCCAGGATCAGACGGTCCCTGGAGGAATTGGGGTTAAGGTCCTTGCGTAAGGCCTCAACGGGGATCTCACGCAGCCAACCCAGGGATTTGCAGCAGTGACATTTCTATCACAGACACAGCATCCCAAACCGCACACCGCATAAAACGGGAGACAAAACATATAAGCTCACTGAGACGTTCGTAATTGTGTTTTAATTGTCATATAAGAGGCTAAAATAGACAGGACTAGTTTGTAAAGCCCTCATAAAGAAATCATTATGCCCACTGACAGCCTCTATTATTGAGTGGACAGCACTTTTTGTCTTCGTATAGTAGTTTATTGTATAATATTACTTGGAAATATCTTTCTCCAAGTCATTCCATCAGAACATAAACTAAAACATTAACTGATAACTATCCATCCATCCATCCATCCATCGATCCCACCATATCCAGGAAACACGGGGTGCACTCAGACGAAGGCTGGACGGGATGATTACCTGATAGCATTTTAGGAAAATATGTGTTTTTTTTATGTACACATTCTCAACATATTTAGCAACTTTCAGATTGGGAAATGTCTTCCTCCTTGTTTGTGCTCGAGGGAAAAACAAATTTCACTCGACGAGGAAAGCTTTGCTGAATATTAAGCGGAAATTGGAAATGGATCCGCGCGGACGGACATGCTTGTCTATGGACTTCACCTTCAGTTCTGGCCGATCAAATTAAACAGCAGCCAATACTTTTGTGCAATTAGAATTCTAATTAATAAGAGAAACCAAATAACCTAAAACAAATGCATAAAATCTAACATATGGGCTTGGAGCTAAATCGCATCGAAAGCCTTGGAAAAATCCATTTTGGTCATTTAAACCAAAATATGTTACGTGTGTTTTTTAGCTTTAGTAAAAAAAGAGAATAAATAAATAACTCGGGGTGTAAGAACATTTATTCTATGAATCATACCTGTAACCTTATAACATTAATTACCTTCCCTAACTTCTGCATTACCTGGTACAATTTAAACTAAATAAAAACAGCACGCTATCCTCCCCGCACGGACCTCTTCAGACCCGCATGAAACCCCAGGACGGCTCCACCGCGATATTTTCTTTTTTTATGTGACCATTCATCTGTTCACACGCTGGTAGGCGCCAGACGTCAAGAAAACAAAACAGCGGACAGTCGTGAATGAATTTAGACGAACAGTAATTACAAGGCGGGATGCTACGGCGATTATTTAGAAATATTTACACGCAAAAATAAATACATAGCCAGATAGCGTGTGCAAACGCCTACACTATAAAGCGGTAGGAGAGGGGCACATGTTTGTATACTGCAGTAAATACAATAAATACATTTATATGTGTATGATTAAATGGTTAATAATATTGTACTTGCTTTCAGCAAGCATCACGAATCCAGTTCTTTTGTTTTAACCGAATAAACTTTAGGGTAAAAACAGCAGCAGCAGGCTGCTTTCTCGCTTGCCTGCTTGCATGGGAAATGCTCACAGCAGACATCTCCATCTAGCCTGTGCTATAATTGAAATGGCGCGTTTGGCCGCAGGCAGGCTGCGAGGGCGCTTTTTGCAATGGCAGAATGCATGTCGATAGACGTCATTTGCTTTTAATGGCCCACAGGATATTTGGCGTCGAGATGCTGCTATACGTTATCGAAAGGACGGAGGGAGACGCGGCACGAAAAGACTGTCCACGGAAATCTGCATATTCAATACCGTAATTTTGTACAGATACTTTATCAACAAGTTATAGTGCTTCCCCGTAATAGCGGTCTAACTCCAAGGGAGAAGCGTGCACTGCATTACTTATTTGAGAACAGAAAATGTAGTTGGAAATGCCCGAGGAAATATTACATCAGACGAAATGACAATGATTAAAATCTGTTTTTTTTCCACTATGTCTATTGAGCGACGTGACACTGGCCTGAAACTGAACAACACTAAAACCGTTATCCCCCTGCAAACCTAGAACTTGAACCGTTACAAGGACCGATGTTTTTTCTCTCTTTTGAAGAAAAAATAAGGGGAAAATAAAGGGGGTAAAAATCACCAATGATTCGGTGTAATCGTAATCATCATCGCGGCAGGAATATAGTACTTTTTCATCTTGAAATTATCTTGGGCAAGAGTAGGGTTGAGCTAATTGTAGCCTAATCCTTGCCCCAGAGGCGTTTGGAAAGCCCGGAGCAAGAATTCTTTTTTAGCTCTCCTCTGTTATTTAGAGACGGATTATTGGCTTTCTCTTCTCATAACAGACACGGCCGTTTTCATTTTAGCAAAAAAGAAGGACAAGAAGCTAAAAAATCTCGCATCAGGAGACAGGCGTCCGTTTAACGTGTACATATTTTAAATCTGCGCAAACAATAAAGCTGAAAAGGGGGAAGGAAAGGAATTCTTCTTATGTTCAAGGTAAGGACGGCTGCTTGCTTCCTGTGTTGCTTTTGTGGAAAGTGCTTGGTCTGAACAAGTCTAGCCCTACAGTAACTATAGGGCATTTTAAAGCCACAGTGGCCCTTTTTAAAATCAATCCAAGCGCTATTATATTGGAGGAGTTAAAAAGTGGATATTTGCTCCCATTCGCCGGAGTCGCGGAATGCCGGGGAATCGAGTCGCATTTAGTTTTAGCAAACTTGCGGTATTAGGAAGGGACATCGCAATCTTCTGCGAGGATTGAACCCTACCAGGATCTCATCGGACTTCCTAAAATGTTTGAAACGGTACGCTGCATTTCATAATGCCTAATAATGGTGCACAGTATTAAACAAATCGCTCGCAGTTGAGCAAATCGTGTTGTTGAAATAATGTGTCTGGAAAGTAGTTGATTACCATTGACCTGCATTATCGGCGCAATCTAACGTATTTTTCGCCCGTGCTATTTAAAATGCAGTTTGTAATTTGTGAATCCTCCATATACAGCGAATGGCTATACGTAGTGAGCATTATAGTTCAGGTTTAGCGGTTTAATGGTTTGGGTCACTTTGTTTTTTTCTCTTACATTTATCCGTGTCAAAGGCATCATTTCACTCATATTGGTATGTGTAAAAGACGCCATATTGTGCAATTGGCAGAATTTACCCCTTGGGCACCGATGTACGTTCAATAGGGCAGTAGTGTAGAAACCACGCAGTAGTATTGTCTCATTTAAACGAAATGCTCACAGCCGGGTTGTGCATGACACTTTATTATATTGTATTGCTATGATAAATGTCACTTTTCTGTAACACTTGTGTGCCACAAACTTTCTAATCCGTAGCCTCAAAGAAGTGTATTTTGACTGAAATAAAATGCATTAATATATAGATTTAAACCTGTATATTTAAAATTATAAAGCAGCTTGAAGTTTTGTAACCAGCGATATGTGTTAAAATTCATTGGCTAACGCAGAAGTTTCGTAAACAAGTATCCAAGATTGCTGAAATCAATTGACTCGGTTATACCTTTATATAATATCACTGTCAACTTTAAAATGAAATTGGTCTGTGTATTATACGTAGTGGTTGTGTTAAATGTTCAAAATAATCCCAGGTACAAACTGACACAGATCACGCTGTTGGTATCGGGTTTTTTTTTATTATCAGTAGACTGCTTTATAATGTTTTTCGGTTAATATGTTGATACGTTTGCACATCAAATATGGATTAAAATATTATCTAAGTAACAAAATTATCAATATTCAGCTAGTAAAACTCAGCTCTGTTTGTAAGGAAAGGTTAAGGTTAACGTGACTGTCTGAATAGCCAGCATTTAACATTGCAGACATTGTATCTCTTGCTTCCAGCCGGTCAGGCTCTTTTTCTTTAAAATGCGCACCTGGCCGACTTCTTTCTTTCTGCGCCCCGTGTGTGCGCATGTGTGCATACTGCAGGCCCGTATCTAGTATGTTCTTCTAACAATATCTATACCGGTTGCCATGGCCCACGGCTATATGAAGAGGCGGGACAGCTTCATATGCCTAAAAAAGTTTTAAGTCTTTTTGAAGTCTTTCTTTCACCGAGATCTGAAACGTATCATCCAACGTGCGTATTAAATGAACCGTCTTCCCGATGGCTCCGTGTGGAGCTAAAGAGGCAACACCCTGGAAAATTCTGCAGTCTTTCAGCACCACTGCGCCCCGGGCACCTCGCCGGCGGCACATCGCTGAATTCAGCTCTAACAAGCGTTTTCTGTTTGCCTTTTATGGTTAGACTATCAGCTAAGCAAAAAAGAGTAACGATTCTGTTAAATCACTCTCAAACTGTAGCAATTATCTTGTGTAATCAGCGCTTCAGTAAAACGTACAGTACGTTGTATATATTGGAATACAAAACGATATCGTTAACTGTTTAATAGATTGCATTTTAATATAGAAGAAAATTGACACACCTTAATACATTTTGTAGTTGCGTGGCTAAATTAAAAAAAAAAAAGTAGAATGCTTTGACATAGCCATACCAATAGGAACAGCAGTCATGTTATAATTTTGCGCTTTGAAAGTTTGAGTGATGGTTTTATGTCGGACACAGGCTTACGCAACGGCCACTGGAGAATTGACATCTCTTCCCCTCTTCATCCACCCAAAATCCCAGTGCTGAGATGCTACAGTGTAACTAACAGAAAAGATGCCGAACACTGATTAGGCTGGTGTGATTAAATATAATGTAACAGGCGTGTATCAATAAGGTCGATTCTGTTTTTTCCAAGTCTGACATTCATAGGTACATCAGTGTTCATAATTAAAATCTGATAAAAACCCAACGAAAATTATTTCATTTTACTAACAGTTGCGGATCCATATGGCTGCTTCATGACAGCGGGTTAATTTGCAAGAAGCACATTAAAAATAACCTGCCGCCATACGCTTATTGAGATTTGCATAAGGCTGTCACTTTGAAAGACAGACATTTCCTCTGGAACAGTACACTTAAGTGATAGGCATGTTTCATGACAAAAGTATCACCATCTTTGCGGAAACCTGTTAATTTAGATGTGTCTAGTTACCAATGCACGCTCCTGCATCATTTGTCTGGGGATGTTTCACGTCTAACACATAAGCCCACGACCTTTAATTAGAAATGTGCAGTTTGTTTTATCCCCCCTAGAGGCTGGCACCTAGCATCTCTGTTTCTGGATCGCTAATAAGCAACCTTCCATTGCGCCTGCGGTCCTATGGAGGGAAAAGATGCTAATGTACTTCATTAAAGTTGTGGCAATAATTTGTAAGCTAAATATGCGATCAGGCAGATGTAGAAGTGATCTAATAGGAGTCAGCAGCGAGGAACACTCAGGAGTTGCTTCAGAAGATATTATATAGTGACTATAGGTATTATATAGAGAAGCGGTGAGATTAATAGTTTGGGTTTCCTTGCTATCATCCTGACAGGAAGGACGGAGCATGTCACGCCTATCTTTGACCCGGTCCCCCGTCTCTCCGCTGGCCGCGCAGGGGATCCCTCTGCCGGCTCAGCTGACAAAGGCGAACGCCCCGGTGCATATAGACGTTGGGGGACACATGTACACCAGCAGCCTGGCCACCCTGACCAAATACCCGGACTCAAGGTAAAGCTCTCCGCCTTGTGAAAGGAACGTTTTCAGTAATATGATTTTTTAAAAATGTAAATTTTAGTTTCTTAACCATCCGTTGAAATAATTCAGATGCGATAGGCTACTAAGCAATTTACTGCCTTAACTCCTGGAATAGCTCGTTACACATAAGGTTGTTTTTCTGTTCCTTTAATTTAAAATGTAGCCTAATTTAAATGCAATATGACATACCAAAAGAAATAAAACTCAGAAAAATATTTCGATGTTACAGCAAAGTAGCAACTCGTTTAAAAAAAAAAAAAAAACAAATCAATGGAAGAACAAACTAATCCTGAAATCAGAAATCTGAAAGCAGTTGAATTGTTATTGATATATTTTTAACCCTCTGGAGTTAACCTTTAAGGTAGTCTGACATGCCTTGGCATTTGTAAATAATTCACCATCTAAAAACATGTACCCCAAAGTGTTACCTATGCTTTTCATTCAGCACAAACTCTGAGACCATTTAGAACGTCATTCTTCCATTTTTTGCTTAAAAACAAATGATTACTTCTTAAGACTGACACTCTGTTTACTCATTATGTTCCAATTCAAGTCTGAAAATTACATTGTTTGCATTATTTTTAACCATTTTTGACAACCGTTATACATCTTTTTGCATTTGAATTTGAGATAACCTGCTATTTCATGTTACATCTGATGTACTAAATTGCAGCCTGAAGATCCCAGAGATCATATAATGTAGAATGCAGTGAGACTGGCAAATAAGACTGGCTCTGTAGATAATTAAACTGTATACACAATCGTTTAAACTTAATAACATCACTGAGAAGCAGTAGCTAACACTAGGCATCTTACTATTATAATTTCAAATATGATGGTAAAATCTACTCATAACTCTTTTTAGAATTTCCATTTTGCTTGCTTCTGGAACCAGTGACCACCCTGGGCAACTGAACATTATGTCCATTTTGCGTTCATAATATCATTGAGATTAAGCTCACACGTGTCGCTTTGGAGAGGGTTAAGTAAAGAATAAATACAAACAACCTGTAGCACACCAAATCCCGTGTGGCTCAGGGCTGCGGCACGGCCGGGTTTGCGCTCAGATGGCATGATGAGACGGGCCGAGGCCTTGGTCCTGTCAGCTGTGGGTTTTATCTTACATTCTGTACGTAACCCCACGGCTTGGATAAAACCGGCCGCATGCTAGTTAGCTGCACTGTTTCATTCCCTACCAACTGTTTGGTTTTAATAATAATGATGAAAAAAAAATCTTCATAATGTCAGAATGTCATCGGTTAATACAACCAGCTAAACCATTCACCCCAAAAGTGCTGTCGATGATTTTTGCAAATTGATTCATTTATTTCCAACTCTTGCGGTGAGCAGTAAAGCATTTTGAGGAAAAAAAAAAATATATATATATATATAAAGCATGTAGGTGTAAGGTTTGGGAGATGAGCATCATCCTACCAGGTGATTAAAGTGCGTTGAATGGAAGGACTGGTCCAATCACAGCACAGCCTGGCACCATGACCTCCTTTAAGTGCAGGTCTTAGCACCGGCAATTTTAACTCGCTGATTTTTTTTTTAATGGATTGCTTGATCAATTATGCAGGTCGTGAAAAGAAACTTAGTCTTGTAAGTAATGTCGAGGCATCGGTCTTCATTCCCTGGCCCGGCACAGGGAGACAAGAGTCATGAAACATTGATCGCGCTCGGATGGGGCCTTTGTGAGGTTGTGGGGTGAAGCTGAGAACCTCGGTCTCATAACGGCCCAGTGGGGGCATTTTAGAAGTTAAGGGACGAGGGCTGCATCCAGGCAATCAGAAAATGATTATGTGAAAGCAGGAGTTAATGCTTCATTTCATGGCTTTGATATTGGAAAGGTGGATGATGTTTTTATTCTGTAAAGGAGCATTTACCATCTCCTTTCCTTAAAAGCAGTGTTGGGCACACATGTGGCCACACACCTGGCTAAACGGCAGCCCAGAAATGTGCTAGAAATCGTCTGAAGCCTGGCTGAAGGGTCCCTTGGCCGCCGACGCCGCGACCTCCGCACATATCAAAGCTTCCATCTTCATTTTAGAACCATTTCAGACTGTTAGTCGCAGGGGAGAGGCCCAGATCCACGCGCGGGCCAGCTTTTTGAAAAGCCAAGTTTGAAACGGTTCCCACTGATCATTGGCGGGAATTTCGGATCAGAGCCGGTTCTCCTCCCTCAGCCCTCCTGTTTGAGAACCTCCCACTCTCCCTCTTGGAAGAAGGCAGCCGGGCGTGAGGGTAGACGGCTGGACGGGCTGGCTGGTAGGCTGCTCTACCTGTTAGACATGAAAGGACCAAACGGAGTGAGGGCGCCCTGTCTCTCAAACGCAAAGGAGGCTGCAGCTCCCGAGCAATTTACCTAAAGGATCCAGAGATAAAAAGAGGAGAGAGAGAGGGAGGGAGCGAGCTGAAGGAGGGGAAAGGAAAGAAAAAGAAAACAGCCTGCATTTTAATTGCTTTTTTGTAAAAAAAAAAAAAAAAAAAAAAAAAAAAAGTGGAGATGAAAAACAGAGATGCCTCTGAGCAGTATGGAGGAACTCTAGCTGGAAGAATCGCAGGACCATATGAGGCAGGACCACCTCAGGTGCCTCATCGAGAGCGACACTTAGGTGTTTCTCTAAACTGTTTTGCATCGATTTCCAGACAAAAGGAGCGCAGATGGGGCGGGGGGGGGACTGGGTGTCCATGCGATGGTGTGGTGCACAGGCTCATTCAGGTGTCAGGGGGGGGCTTTAGGGAGTAGACAGCATCCCCCGTTTTGGCTCAGCTCAGCTGCTGCCGAATGGACACTTGCCCTAAAACTCACACAGTTCTTACTGCTACTAAGACCTGGTTAGCAGCTTGGGAAAATTCCTGGGAAAATGCACCCAGGGTTAAGTCAGGTTTTCTCTTGGCCCAGACATACTCACCGGATGTGGAGTGTGACGTTTAAGGGATGGCAGCTATTTTGTGGGAGTCGTGCGTGTGCAGACACAGAAAATCTCATCCTGAAGTGTCTGCTGCTGTACCGTGTCGAAAGGTGTTGCTAGAAAAGTAGCTGACAGGATTGTAATTATTAAGCCTTCCAGTAACAATCACTTAACACATGCGACTAAATATGAGTCAGTCAAGACCGTCATGTGCATGTGGCAGATGGTCCCTCCCTTATTTATTTCCGAGTTATTTTTTATTGTCAATCACAACTGGTTTAATACTTTAGTAGCTTGTAGTGTTTTGCTGCTTCACTTCTGTTAGACCACCAGCAGGGGGGAAGTTTGTGCCAAAGATACATATTCTACCTCTTGTGGCAGCCGTCCATGATTCTCAGCGATTCTCAACCCGTGGGTCGTGGCAAGTTCTGAAAGGGTGGCGAGGCAGAGTTGGAAATGTAAGCATTTCAAAACTGCTGATCCAGGATCAGATTTCCCAGCCCCAGTCCTAGAATTTACCTGTATAAGCAGGTCTTGGGTCTGCAAATGCTTAGTGCAAAACTAGCGAACACTCAACTAATCCAAGAAGCCAAACCACAGATGCTTAACTTAAAATTCACTGGCAATTCCAATCAGATTTGTGCAATAGGCAGTGATTGGCGTAAAATTGCAGAATGCACTGCATGCTTGTTCATAGTGTTAATTTAAACCAGGGGTGGCCAATCTTATCCACAAAGGGCTGGTGTGTATGCGGGTTTTCACTGCAACTCCTAATTAGATTACTAATTAGAGGACTGATTGGCTGAAGAGTCCTCATGGTGCGTTCGTTTTTCTCTCGGAACTCCGAAATTCCGAGTTGAGTGACATCACGTCCGACAATCTCACGTTCGAGCTACCACATCTCGGAACAAACATGGCTGCCTCCATGAACACGCTGTTGTGTGTTGTTGCTTTATATTATTTTTATATTTTATTTTAGTAGATTTGGAGTTTTCCAAATGGAGAAAATGGAGAAATGGAGATTTTTCCGAGAGACAAACAAGAAACACGAACTAGTCAAACCACATAAAAAGCTTTATAAAATATTTTAGTACATTCATAGCGATATTATTTTTTCGAACATTAAACAAAATACAAACAAACCAAGTCACCATGTTGAAATTACGTCACAGGGGCAACTCGGACAACAAAATCTTGTCCGAATTCAACGTCATGAAAGAGGCGTGTTTCCGACGGGAAGTGACATTTTTCGTGACGTTTCGTGACGTTTTGATCCGAGTTCCGACTTGGAGAGAAATAATCGAACGCACCATCACACCTGGGTTTAAACAGCTGTCCTACAGGTTATCCCAAAAACCTGCATACACACCGGCCCTTTGCGGATAAGATTGGCCACCCCTGATTTAAACCTATACTTGACACAGGGTCGCAAATGAGCTGCCGTGGTTAAAATTAGGTCGCAGTGCAAAAAAGGTTGAGAGCCACTGATATTGATCATGTAGCTCCTGTAGATGTGCAAAGGTAGGAATGTCAATGGATAATGGGGCACAGTTCGAAAGCCCATGAAAAGTGAGCGGATCACAGTGACAACGTGAGGCAAACAGAAGGGTGAAGATCAGTGGTCCCTGTGAAAATGCTTCGATCAGCCATTCGCGGTGACAATGTCCTCAGCTTTGGAGTCGCTGAAGGGGGCTCAGCAAGGGGCTTCTGGCAGTGAGCGACTCGTTACCCGCGAAGATACACAGAAGCCACCTTTTCATGTTTTGCATTCAGGTGTAGAAAGCAATCGCTTTACAACAGCTACCTGGGCAGGAAACGGAGCCTCAGAGCTGCAGGAAAGCCGCTTTTATTCATTTATTTATTACGTGTCGCAGCTTCTCTTGTTCAGTGTGAGACGGAGCTTTAAAGTGAAGCTGAACAGAGGACTTTGTGATGACTGCAGTAGAGTTCAGCAGAAACTCAGGCTCTTAGATCTGTTTGCAATCTGTCATCACTGGCAGCGCTTATAAAATGAAAAAGGCTTCCTTTAAACAGGACTTTTAATTTTAATTTGCTTTTTTGTCTTTAGATATTAAGGGGGTGCATTTAATTAACCCTTTCAACTCAGACCTGATGTTCCATTTTAATAGATGTGCAAAAACTATGTGTTGCATTACTTCTGAAATAAAGGACAGTGCAAAAATATTAAAATTACCTTCAGCGCATGTCTCTTTCTGACATCTGTACAAGTACATTATGTTCATGTGTGACATGTTACCCATTGTGTTCCATTTTCCATTTAACAAGATCCATTTCACTGTTAACAGTGATATTCGATTTCAACGGCTCCAACTTGGAGGTGACCACAATGTTTCTTTTTCAGTTTCCGATCCTATATTATGACGGCAGAGAAAAGCCAAGATGCCTAATATTAATGTTTTAGCCAAAAAAAACAAATCAGCTGTATCATGACTAAGGAGATTGCAAGTTACCTTTAACAACTGTTTCATGTGCCCCTCTAAGAGATGCCACCAATTTGTAAGCAAGGAAAGTTCAGGAAAGTTCAAACTTATCCTCAGATTTAGCACTTGTGTTCAATAATCCATCCACTTGTTTAAGGGCAAACTTTCGGGATCTTACCTTCCAGAATCAGCCGCCTATTTAACGGCACCGAGCCCATAGTGCTGGACAGTCTGAAGCAGCATTACTTTATCGACCGTGACGGCGAGATCTTCCGGTACATTCTCAGCTTCTTGAGGACCTGCAAATTGCTCCTCCCAGACGACTTCAAGGTAAGGCAAAAATGCCACCGTGTTTCTTTCTTGTTTTTAATTTAAAGGCAGCAGAGAGGTCTTATGTAATATAACCCAAATGGGTACAGTTGTTCACTAATTGTTGGCAAGATGTAGAGGCCTAGATTTATTTTTGAAACTGCAGATAAATGCAGACAAGGGTTTTCAATGACATTTTAATTTTAGAAGATGAAACTTTGTATTTGTAACAAGAGGAGTAGTATTTTGGATATTGTAGATTTAAGTGACATAATACTATTGAACTACAGAACATAAACGGTCTTCCTTCAGGTCAGGTCTGTTAGATAGGCCTGAATTGAAGGGAGATGGTGAAACACTGTTTCTTAGCTGTAATATCCTATTTCTCATCATGTGTTCGGTCTACCAGCTGCACTTTGCTGTCAGCTTCTACTAACTAACATTTGCTGGTGGATTAGATGTTTACAGGTATTATAAATTAAGTTTGCAACTTGGTCAAGATTGTAACTGTCATATCGGCAACCAGTCACCGGCCGACCCTATGGCTGACGGCCCCTGCATTTCCGCTTGTGATAAATCCACAAACTTCCTCTGCACAGCAAGGCCGACGTGTCCAGCAGACTGCTTGATGTGGCTTTTTTGATAGATGAAGTGGATGAGAATAGTGAAATCTCATTAACCCCTGTGGGGGGGATTCTCTGTTTGCCTACCTGAACTTGCAGATGAGAGAAAATTTGGGGTGATAGTGCAGGCCCAGGGAGCTGGGGGTTAACGATCAGGCTCCAGAACCCACGCGCGGGTGACTGTTTGAAGTCAGGCTCGAACCAGCGACCAGCTGATGACAAGCACAGCGGCTTAGCCCACCAAGCAACACGCCACCCCCATGCACAAATGCCTTCTAGATGGAAGGCCTCCTAATTACAATAAGTACTTTGACAAGTGCTAAGCAAGCATCCATTAAAATGTCCTTATTAGCAGTACCCCACTGTACGGAGCTGGGTGGGGGGGGTTCAGCTTCTCAGCTGGAGAGCCCTGCAGCTGCCGGAGTGCTGAGTGACTGTCAGAACTTGAAAGGAGCTGTTTCACAAAGCACACCGGCACCATCAGCCTGTTCAGCCCTGACGTACCGCGGGTTTGTGCCTGACCCCACCACCCAGGTGCAGGAGGAGGGGGGGACGATCCTGTAATGGTGCAGACTGGGCCGAGGCATCAAAATATCGAGGGCTGAGAAGCAAGGTCACGGTCGGGCAGGAAGAGGGTCGTGTGCTTTCTGTCTTGACCCTGCATGAGTCGGACCGACGGTCGTGTCTCCGGTGATTCTTGAAGTGATGTTTGTTTTCTTAGCATCACATTCATGCTCTTGGCAGGACTTTCGGATCTTGTGATGCCAGGTGAAAATAAAATGACGTGAAGCTGATGCACTCCAGCTGAGGGGGAGAACAGGTCTGCTGTGTACCGGCCCGTCAGACCACCTGCCCTCCCCTGCTGGTGGGACGTAACTCTGAGGCACCCAAATTCCGCACCAGGACGCTGGGTGCTTAATGACCACAAACAGCCTATTACCTTCCGTCGCTGTATCCATGGCATCGTAACCCAGTCTTGCTCTTCTCTCACTCCAAGTGAACTCGGGAAACCCCGTCTCCCAGAATCAGTCACCCACGGCCCCCAATCGGGGCCCCCACGGGTCCCTTAATGCGGTTCCTCACCTGTTTATTGCAATAAATTCCAAAGGCACCACAAGCAGAGGGACTTGATAAGCTTCCATTACGGATATGACAGTGTAAAAGTGCTATAGATATACACTCCCTAGTGTCTGAAAGTGTGATACCTCGGTAGAATGATCACTGAATGGTATTAAGTTTATGCTACAGGCCAGCACTCCCCAGTCTCACGTGCCTGTAAGTCGGCGTCTGCTCAGAAAGCCTCAGACAGATGGTCCGCTGTCCCAGTGGGGTCAGCCACAGTCCGCTGGACATGGTGATTATTGAGATCAGAGTTTCCATTTTTGACCCTTGGAGTGTGACTCACAGCTACCTCTTCAGTTATTCACTTAGCCCCCCCACCCCCTCCTGAGCATTCAGCCGTCACCACTGTCCGCTGCCTGGGTACCCGAACACACTTTCCCGCCGTTGAAACATTTCGCCGTGGGTGCGCTCGCGTTGGCGGCTGGCACCCTGCAGACCGCGCTCTGCTTATGACCGTGACCATCACAGTAGTCTGGGGGGCCACGAGACACAGTGCATGGCTGATCTTGTCAGGAAAATGTCAAATCCCACAAGGCTCCTGTCATGCTGCTGCCTTGGCCACATTGCCGTAACAAGTGTCATCTCTACAAACAAGGCTCTTTTTAAACCTTCTCAGTGGGACATGGAAGAAATTAGTGATTAATGTACCTGGGAATCAGATGTTGATAAGTATGGGCTCCCACTCAGAACTGCTTCAGCAAATGTCCAGTAACGGTACAGGCTCTGTATAAGTGATGTTGGCTGTTAGATTTTGTGCTCAAAGATTCCATCCTTACATTGAAGTTCTCCCAGCATCATCTGGCATTTGGGTGACCCAGTCTGGTGAGTCGGCCTCACCAGTGGGCGGCTCGGTCAGCTCATTGTGCTGGAACTTCGCCAGCCTGGTTGATTTGGCTCCAGGGACCTGGTGGAAGTCAGCCTGTTGGACCCTCATTTCAGAAATTCAGATTATCGTGCCGTTCGGTGCCCTTTTTGGGATGCAAAACATATCCTTGCCCTGTGCCAGACCTGTGAAGGATGAGGAAGTTCGCTGTGATGTCGGGGGGACCTAGAAGGAGGCGTCTCTGTATGAGATCACTCAGGAGCAGAAGATGGGAGCCATGGCTGGGGGGAGGCAGGCTGGCTCACATGCACTCATCCTACAACATTTGCTATAATGAGATGCTGCAACCAGAGTTCAAACAAATGCGCAGCAACAATGGTGGTATATGTGTAAGACAGAGGGTCACTGTTTAAGGCTGAAGGCACCCAGAACCACAATAGAACCCACTACTGGAGGGGGTAACGCAGCGGCGTAGAGTTGACGTGTAGCTGTGAGGTCTTAAATGGGACGTGTCCAATGTTTTCCATTCAACTCTGCGACGATGATGACGATGAAGATGATGAAACTTAACCTCAACTGCTCTCGTTTGGTCAGTAGCTGTGGAAACGAAAGTCGAACGTGTCCAACATTCCAGAGCAGAAGTGAGAGACGCAGATGTGTCTGTTTTGGCGAGTCCCTGCGCTTTCCGGAAGTCCTTTCCACAGTGCGCATGGTGTGAAATACGCGAGGACCCCAACCACCGGCCGCCCTCGTGCGTGCCTGCTACGCCGCGTCCCCCGCGCCCCATTAATCAGTTTGCCAGTGCGTTCCGATACCCTTCCCATTTGGAGTCAGGCGCCCGCTCCGTCGGGTACTTTATAGCGGATTTGAGCAATTGTGCCATCTGCTCTTGTGGGAAATTAGAGGAGAGAGTGGCAGGGCGAAGCACCTCGGGCGAGTACAGCCTGAGGGGCAGGCAGGCAATCTGCTGGCGGACCACCTCGCACACAGACGGGCGCCGTCCCAGCCCCCCGCCGCCGCCGCTCCTCAGACATCCGCGGGCGCCCTTCTCCCCGCCCGAGGCAGGCAAGCAGGCTGCTCCCAGCTTCCCAGACGTGCCTTTGTTTCCTCCGCCGATCTTCTGACACCCCGACGCGTCCATACGCACGGCAGATATCAGAGTGTCCGGCCGCAACGCCGCGTTACGCTGCACCCCAGGTAATGCGCTGGGCCACCGCGGTATGAATGCAAGGGAGGAGAAGTTTGCAGGAAATGCGCTGCCGTGTGGAAGACCTAATTAATTTTTTTTGGTTTTTCTTGTTTCTGAGAAGGCGTATTTCAATAACGTACATCAACTATTTATGGGTCTTTAATGCCATTTTACAATGCAGATGCCACAATGGTATGACGGAATTAATTTCTTATGGCTCTGATTACAATTTTTGATGGTTCAGATTTAACTTATAAATTGATTGTTTTTTAAAAATATTATAAGTTCTTCTTTCATCTGTTTTTTGTTTCGCTACATGCATGACGTATTCCTCTGGATCATGGCAGTAAAGCCTTTCGCCGGTCAGACCAAACGTGACTTTTAATGAGTGTTTCCGGTTGTCTCTCCTAAGAGTGTTGTCCTTCCTGTAAGTTAGAGAGCTCCCGCTCTGTCATCGCTGGCCACTGTTCCGCCCCGACAGAGGACGGTCCTAAAGGCAGCGAGGCTCTATGCCTCATGCCCCGAGGCCCCGTCCCTCGCTGACCCGCATGCTGCCCGCGCCTCTCCGCAGGACTTCCAGCTGCTGTATGAGGAGGCGCGATACTACCAGCTGACGCCCATGATCAAGGAGCTGGATCGCTGGAAGCAGGAGCGCGAGCAGCGGCGGCTGGCCCCTCCCTGCGACTGCCTGGTGGTGCGCGTCACGCCCGACCTGGGCGAGCGCATCGCGCTCAGCGGCGAGAAGGTGCTCATCGAGGAGATCTTCCCCGAGACGGGTGACGTCATGTGCAACTCGGTCAACGCCGGCTGGAACCAGGACCCCACGCACGTCATCCGCTTCCCGCTCAATGGCTACTGCAGGCTCAACTCTGTGCAGGTAAGAGCCCCGGTCCGGGAAGCTCAGGGCCATGGAATACTGGCCATCATTCAGTTTCATGCCTCCTCTTACAGTTTTACGCATCTCTCTAATGTCCACACTCGGAAATGTGCTGAATCATTCCATCAAACTGCCCTTTCAAAGGTATAACAGGATTTACCTCCAGCAACGGTACCTTTATCGCCCCAGCGACGCAGCGGTGCATCATGGGAATACGCTGGTTTAAGGCAAAGACGAACATGAGGCACATGCTCAGGCTGGCCGGGTTTTATGATGTTCCCTCCAAGTTCTCCATAAATGACCCACAAAATGGTGCATCCGAACAAGCCCCCTCCCCCACCCCCTCACGCACACATGAAAATGTTCATTGTACCAGGGACTGATTTTTCATGTCATTTGAGGCAGCGACATATTTCACCCTTGGGGGCTTTATGTTAAATAGCAGGATATGTGTGTGACGGATGGTATGTGTATAAATTGGGGGGGGGGGGGTCTGCCAGAGTGCTATCCTGTAGGTGGAAGGATGGAGGGCCCTGTAGGTGTCGGGGAAGGTGCGTTGACACAGCCCCTTCTGGTTCACCTTGGCGTCATGATGGAGGTGTCAGTCCTGGAGGTGCTGGGAACACCTGCAGATCTCGAGCCTCTCGCTGCGATGAGCAGAAGCGGCGTCGCAGCTGGTGCCGTCACATGCTGTAATGCGCCCGCCAACCGCGCAACGCCAGATCACATGGTCGCCATCGTGCGCGGAGGAACAGCGACCTGAAACGTACACATACATATCACAGGTTAGAGGAACATCAGCCCGAAAAAATACCCCCTCAGAGCTGCACCTGTGCATGGGCTCTAGCGCCAGCCGGCCCCCCTTCCCCGAGCCCCCAAAGCCCTTCCGGGGGTGGCACGAGGGTGCAGAAAAGGTGCCTTGGTCCACAGTCGTTTTCTGGAAAATGGAAAGGGAGAAAGTGATGAAAAGGAAGAAAATTATATGCATTATTCATATTTCTCTCCTTTTAAGATGTAGCTCCACTTCCAAAGAATTCACTACAAGGACGCCTGCAGCAATTTAAATACATGTATTGCATTTTTTAATACTGTACTTAGAATTTCCCAAACATCCTAAACTGGTTTATAGTTCTTTTTATAGATTTTTAATTGGCTTGCAATATAATTAATTGGCGCATCAACTAACACAACGTTTTTTTTTTTTTTTTTGCAGTCTATTTACAGGCAAATTCGGTCTTGGTGTGCTAGCATCCGTTTCAAATTAAGTGGGAACCATTTCAGTTTTGATGATTGCCTTTGCTACAGGACACGCATGCTGCGGGAAGAGCAGTGGAATGAGCGCTTTTATCCACTGCGAGCAAGACGCCTCGCTGTAAGACAGGCTCGTCTGGGGGGGGCGCCCTGTTAATAAAGCCCTTTTGCGTAATGTATAAGGACACGGTGTGCTTTAAAAGACCTTTTGTCTAAAGCTTGTCCTCATGCGCATATGGGCTGATGTTTAAGGGTCTTTTTATCATAGTTTTTCACCCAGTATAAACAGGGGGAAAGCGACGGACTGAAATCTGATTCAGGATCAGCTGTACGCCCCCTTCCCCCAGCTTGCTCACTGTCAGCTCTGCTTCTGCCAATCTGGGGCCAGAGAGTCTGTGTCAGAGTGCAGGAGAGCTGCAGGCAACAATGGGCAGACATCATACAGGCCTGCAGGAGGCCTACCCTCCCAGCTTTGGCCAAACAAAACTGGTGGTGTTTTGCCATGATGAAGCACAGGCCTCTCCCACACTCTATGACCTGTATGTGGGATAGGAGCCTAGTCTGTATCAGAGTGCAGCAATGCTACAGGTAACAATGGGCAGACTGCATACAGGCCTGCAGGAAACCTATCCTCCCAGCTTTGGCCAAACAACACTAGCAGTTATCTGCCATGGTGAAGCACAGCCCTCTCCCACAGTCCTTGACCTGTACGTGGGATAGGAGCCTAGTCTGTACCAGAATGCAACAATGCTACAGGTAACAATGGGCAGACAACATACAGGCCTGCAGGAGGCCTACCCTCCCAGCTTTGGCCAAACAACACTAGCAGTTATCTGCCATGGTGAAGCACAGGCCTCTCCCACAGTCCATGACCTGTACGTGGTATAGGATCCTCAAGGGCTCACTAAGGAATCTCTGAGCGGTGGCTAAATTGTATTATTTCACATATATATAATTAATATATCCTGAGACCCCTACTGGATATGGGTAGATAGATAATTAATGTCATTAAAATAATGAAGCACCATGTAAAATACACCTTTAAAAATGACAAAATTGCAGAGTAATGGATGGTTCTAAGAAGGTATTCTTGGAAATGAAGTCTATAGCAGTGGACATGGCCTTTTTGAGGAGGGGGCCGCCGGGGCTGAGCTCACCTCGACTCCCCAATGCTTGCGGAGGTGGGTGGGGCAGACCCACCCCTCTCATGGCATCTTTGAGCTCGGGGCTCCACTCACCACATGGAGCATGTGTGTCTGATCGGGTTGCAGAGCTGGACGGCTGCCCATGGGAACAGAGGGCCCCACCCAGCAGGGAGGGAGAGGTCGGCATGCGGGGAAGCAGAGACGGGCCTTTTTATCGCGGTATCCTGTGTTTACATCGCGGCCGCAGGGGCATGGACAGGACAGCTGACCCCAAAGAGCGTAGATGCGGGAAGTTGCAGTTTGGAGGTGGTGCTTTCTCTACCCAGCCGCTGGGAGTGGGATTTGACCCTACTGCTGTGCAGGGGGCATTGTGCGTGCAGCAGTGTGTGGGTTGATGGGGACCATAGCTCTCAGCCAGAGAATTAACCTGCCAACTTCGTGTGAGCGACCTCTGATCTGCTTTATGTAGTTGCCAAATTGCCCACCAACCCCCCCCCCCCCCCCCCACTCATCACCTCTAACAGAGGGAGCCAGAATAACAATCAGGGGGGGTTAGGAGGCTGATCAAACTGGCCCTCAGAAACGTGTTTCTCTGTTCCCGAAAAGAGAGAGCTCCACATGAAAACATGTCACACAGACAGAGTCCCATGTGAAAAAACCCAGAAACAACAGGCTTTTTGCAAACATAAAACTGACAGGCTGTTTAATTTTAAATGAAATTGACTGCAGTGAGCGGGATGCGGGGCAGTGGGTGCAGTGGGCACTGCGAGCGGCGGCGGCCCCAGTCATATTCCAACAAAGGGCCGCCGCCGTAAATGCCGCCTGGCGTCCTACTTCCCGTGACACGTGTCAGGCGGCCCCGCTGCAGAGCTCCCCGGCGAGGGGGTCTGCGAGCCAGAGGGGGGAGCACATTCTCTTCTGCGTCAGTATTGCGCTCGCCTGCGCCTGGCTGTCCCCCCCCCCCCGGTTACTTATGGGGTAGCGGTACCACGATGCGCCAGCATTTCGGGTCGCCGGGACCTCTCGGCGCCGAGTACGAGCAACGGGAGCAGGAATCCCAGCGATCCGGTTCCCCGGGACACACCCTCGACCTCAAGCATCAGAGACAAAGGAGAGTAATATGATAATTATAATTATTTAGTTGCTTAGGTGACCTTTTTTTTCCCTCTACAGGTCGGCCTCGAAATCTACCCATTAATACTTTCATTTAAAGGTAGTTCCTTCGCTGGAGGGTTCAGCAGTGATGCCCCCAACAGCCTGTCTCTTCAAATACACACCCTAAGCCAATGCACTGCTCTCTGCACATCGAATTCTTTTATAAAGTAGCGAATGTAAGGCACCGAGCCGTAATGTCTTTTAGCGTTAATCACTGTAGCTGGATGGTTCCTCCGAGACCAGCAGCACTTTCAACACTCGCTAATAAACACGAAAATGGTGTCAGCTTCCCGTCAGCTCTCACCGCACTCTGCCACCTCACCGCTGACATATCAGAGAGGGAAAAACAAGCGATGTCTGTCCACAGGGCGTGTGTCTGTCTGTAAAATCCTTAAAACCTCCCAAATATTTATCGTGAAACGTCTGCAATAGTGAACGTGGAGCCGTAGAACCATAGCACATCTGGTCAGACAACAACACACATTGTGGTGAAGCATAAGGTGATGCAACGATCAGGGCGCAGAGTGTAATATGATTTCCATAATTGTTGTTCTTCTGCGTAGTCTGTCATGGGTTTGCCGTGCTGACACTGGCGCGCTTCTTAATTAGCGCCGGTCTCCGGCTCACGCTCGGTCGTCTCCCTGCTCTACTCGGCTAATTAGCCTCTCGGTCACGGTCACCGTGCAAGACGAGGACCGGCCAACGCATCATTACCACACAGAATGGTCGCATGGTGCCCGTTATTTCGCTTCCTGTCACGTTACGATGTGAAGCGCATAAAACGGTCCCTAATTAAAGACCATTGTTAATGCAACATGCCAAATCCACTCAAGTGATCCCCCTTGTTTGGTAAACATTGCGGTAAAATATGTATAGCCCGTCCACCTGTCAGCGGGGGCGCCATTCTGATAAGCCAAGCCATCAGTTCTGCACTGGGCTTTTTGGGGACTCTAGCTTTGCACATGGACTTCTTACGATTTTTTTTTTTTTTCTGGCAGTGCCGCCCCGAGCAAAACCTTTCATTTTCAAACACAGCGTGCTCTAAAGGAACGGGAATGCGCACATGGAGCCGCTCAGCCCGCTATGAAAGGGAAGACCCTTCCAGATAAAAACCCACAACAATAGCGGCTAGATCTGAATGTCGAGAGACGACAATGGGACTGAGACGGTGGGACGTTTGGGACGGTTCTGCCAGCTCTAGCCACACGTCAGATCACACGAATACGGCTTGACGCCCTGATAATACAGCTTTCTTCTTTAATAAATACGAGAGACATGCTCTCCAGTAGCTCTAGCTGGGTCTGTAGTGAGATGCTGTTGACATCTGCGGTTTAAATTTCCACTGGTGTAAAACATGTCCTCACCAGAGGGGTCAGTGAACACGATGCGCCGCTTGTGCTGCGGTGCAATGGGAGATGGGCAACATCTCTAAAACCCTCTTCACCTGCCGCCCCTGCAGGTTCTGGAGAGACTCTTCCAGAAGGGCTTCAGCGTGGCGGCGTCCTGCGGGGGCGGAGTCGACTCCTCCCAGTTCAGCGAGTACGTCCTCTGCCGTGAGGACCGCCGGTGTCAGCCCCTCAACACGCCGATCAGAATAAAGCAGGAGCCCCTGGACTAGAGCATGCTGGGAAAAGAACTGGCACTGAGGTGGACTGTGACTGAACAGAGCAGGGCCACCTCCTCCATCCAATGAAAAGGATCAACGAGGAACACTTATGTACTAGCGTTTTGTTTTGAGCGGACAGTGCCAGCCCCAAGGAACTTGGAGAACTGAAGGGAATGTAATTAAAAAAAAAAAAAAAAGAACGTATACAAAACATCTTGATCGTGCCAGGAACACCCAAAGAAGTTCAAGCGAGGGACTGATCTCTCACAGGCGAGCCCCCATCCTCGGCTCTGCTTTAGGGGCGCGATGAGCTGCGAGGTGGGACGTTTGGGACAGATTCTGCAGGGGAGCCGACGCCCCCCACTTCAGCGTATCCCAGCGTGTCGTCCAGTCCTGTCCATGTGCGTGTTGTGTGGCGATGCGGCTGAAAGTGAACAGCGCCGGCATGGGGGCAGACGTCCCTGGCTCTAAGCATGCTCGCTCTTGGAGAACCCCAAATGTAGCTGAGGACTACTACCCACTCACAGTCCACTTGACCTGGGCTTTATATAAAACAACCCCCCCCCCCATTCTAAATATGGAATCCATTGTTTTGTTGGCTGTTTATATAAACTAGTGTTCTTATCAAAATTTGCTTGTATTCCAGCCATGATCTATGGCTTTGTTTTGTTTTGTTTTCCATATGAAGGATTTCTGCACCTAGATTTCAAAAGTCATGGGACATTAGGGCATAAGTAGGGGTTGCTTGGTGCTCACTCTAAAAACACTATTACGCCCCGAGGCTGCATGGATGAAGCCGCCTGCCCGATTGTTAGAACAGGACTGCAGGGAGAACCTGTGTTCTCCTTTAGCTGCAAAGCGATTTCAAAATCTTCACTCAAGAATATGCACCAGCTACTCTAGTACAGCAGGAAAGCTACCAGCACGGTATTATCTTAATTAGCCACAGAACAAATGGCGTATGGTCTTCTGACATTTTCACGTTGGAACCCCACACTGAATTGAAACAATATCCATGTGCTCTTTTGTTAAACATGGTACAGGTGTCTGAGAGAGGACAGAAAACACCAGTGTTATTTTACAGACACTGCTCTCTGTATGTCTGGAGGTCCATGACATGAAGCAGTAGAGCTTTGTGCTGGTTTCAGTGACCCAACACCCAGCATTTAAGTATAGGAAGTACCCCCCCTCCCCCCCAGAATAAAATACCCAACCCCCTGATCTTCATCGTGTGGGACCCAGAGTGTCTCTGGGAACAATCAATGGCCTCCATCATTGTGGCAACCCCCCCCCCCAGGCCGGCAGTGCTCTGCCTTCACTGTATAGCAGGGGGAGGGGGGCTTGAAGCGGGCCATTGTACCTAGGCAGATCACAGCCTGAGGGGACCTTTGGAAGTAGAGCAGGGAGATGGATCGGGTCACATGGTTATCCAGCGGACACTCCCCACCTGGGACTGAAGGCACTTTGCAAAGCCTCCCCCCCCCATGTGGATCCCCACTGATAACCCCTCAGTTAGCAGCTTGCGGCTCAGTTTAATCAGAACGGCTGTGGGGAGAACCGCCATCAAGTTAACGATTTACAGGAGTTAGAAAAGGCCCCCCTTCGTCAAGGCAGGGCGGAGCGGAGTACGCAGAGGTGTGATCCCTCCGTCCGAGTCGGAGAGACTGAGCTCCTGAGAGCGGCCCATAGGCCAGCTTCGCACTGAGGAGCAGCCAGCGGACCTCCGAGAGGCCACCTCCCCACCTCCTCACCACATCAACACCTACACGAAAAACTCAAGCACACATACGAAAAGAGAATAGAGGGGAAAAAAAAGTCTAATTTTCCACTTGTTTTTGAAGGCCGCTCTTCTGAATGATGTGTAGAATTCTATCTTACGCTTTGTTTAAATGGAAGAACTCCAGTTATGGAAAGAAGTGTCTCTTATTTGATAAGATGATGATGATGATGATGATGATGATGATGATACTGCATCACAGGGGTCCCTGCTCACTTTTTTGTGCTCCGTAGTCCAATAATTAGTCACTCATATAGTCTTTCGTATAATGAAATGTATTAGGACCCTAGGTTTGAGTGAGCTTTTTTGGTTAAAAATATATTTAAAAACAAACAAACAAACATGCAGACAGATAACGAGAACCTCAAAGTCCTATTTTCATTTTCCTGGGAAATCAGAAATAAAAAAGAAATTGCAAGCAATATGTTGTGTAAATATGGATTTTCTAAAAGCATTTCAAAGTTATACTAAGGTGCAAATGTATATTATTTAAACAGAATGTTTTAACAATTAGACTATAGTATTAAGGGCATGTGTCAACCTGCAGTGACTCCATCTTTCAATTTTATTTGAATATTTGCATTAATAAACGGATGAACTGTTTATTTAATGCTTGTTTCCTATATGTTTTTTTTCTGAAATGCACAGGTAAGATTACTGAGGTTTCATGTTAAACTCACAATGCCCCCCATTTGAGAATGTGCAAAGGTATTATTTTCCCCTTTTCTCCTCATGAATTAAATACGCATTCAGTTTAAATCGTTCACCATCGACAGGGAATATTTACACGGTTACCCTGGTGTAACATGGACATCCTGTACCACGGTACCATGTGAATATTCCTTCTGAGATACAAAAACCGCCAGCCACCTGGTAATGAGGCAGCTTCACACTCCAAGAGCCCACCTTGGTCTCCCAGCTCCTGCTGAGTGACACCTTCTGTGAAGCTCTGGTCTTAAGCACACGAGTTCTCACTTTGGTGGGGGGTTGGTTTTAGCTCAGCCAAGAGCAGCTCCACAACACTTTCTTCATCTTGAGTGAAAACCTCAAGTCATCGTCAGTTCTGCTCACCACTCGTCTCCTGCTCCATCCTGGAAACTCTTCTCGTTCTCGTTCTGTTTGCACAATCTCCTCCTGAAATGCAGGAGATGTTGACTGGGGGTTTTCATGGGAACACGATGCTATTATGACGTTACTGAGCTCATGACATGCCTTTATTCCTATGGTCTTACTGACGTGCAGATGGATATTAATTCAAGCGATTCAAATTAACTGCTTCGCTCAAGGGCATCGCAGCAGCTCAGCTTTTCAGCCTCAAGCTTTTTGGCAGCAGTTCCAGCTCTGTAATCTCTCCACTACCTACAGTCAAATCTTATTACAGAACTGTTTACAAACGTGTGCCAAAATACCTGTTTCTCTCACAGTGAGCATCTCAAAAGTTCATGCAGTATTTTTACAAATATTTGGCAAATCGAGTAAAAAAAAAAAAAAACATGCCAATTCATTTGGGTATACAGAATACAAGCTAATTCTAATAGGATCTCTGGCTTTAACCAGAAGGGGTTTTGTGTGTTGGGGAAAAAAGACTTTTGAACATCAAGTGGTCAAGACTGGTGACAACACCCAATAACACTCCATTTCAGCCTATGATACTATGTTGCAGTGCTCTACAAATCCAATGGAGCAACAGTCACATTCCTGAAGCGGAACCAAAATCATAACGTTTACGTCTGTGAGATTTTTTTTTTTTTTTTGTTACCACACTTGCTTTGAAAGTTAAGCATTTTGCTCTTTTCAAAATACTACAGCTTAATTAGTAGCAGAATCCACCAGACCTGCCTTGCGGTCGACAATATTTGTGAGCCGTTTGCCTCAGCAAACACTGCTTTGCATCCATGCGAAACCTTAATGTCTGCTGCAGAGAGAGTTGGGGGAAAACAGCATCAATGAGGAGTCAATAAAGATGGGGGGCTTACACAGCTGGGGCGGGGCAAAGAGTCTTACCTTATAGCTTTAAGTGGTTGATCTTTGTCCACCTAAAGACCCCTCCCCGAACCAACACTCTGCGATGGGAGCAACTTCTTGGGAATAAACTCAGTGAGCAAAATATCAAAGCATAAGTGTGAGCCAAAGCACAGGTCAGGAGTCTTCAAAGACCTGAGACAGACGAATGCATAAAAAGAGCAGGACAGAGGCTGCTAAGGACAGAAACACACTGGACACTTTGTTTAGTAAACAGCATCTTTATTCCTTTACAAAATAGGTACAAATACAGAAGTATGCTTTTCACACAAACAGGAAAATTTTAGAATATGTACAGAGTTTACCAAAAATAACATAGTTCTAATAAACACATGGTTTTTGTAAACAGTATATACAAATTACCCACACATTAAAACTTAATTTTCCACCTGGGTGTCAGTAAAACCTTCCTATTAATTTTTTTTGGCTAAAAAGTTTGATGGAGTAGAAATTTCTTCTGGCTTATTTATCAGAAACCATAAAAATAATTATTAAAGGTATCGTCTTTAAACCGTTGGACAAATAAGTCTATTTGTGCTTCTTTTAAATCATTCTGCTTTCTTTTATTTATTTCATTACTTGTTTTTGTCTTTCCCCCACCAAAGTTAATTTACCAAGATAAAACTGCACGGTGCAAATGAGGAAAACAAATGGTAATATATAAATAGTTACAAACCACCTTCCCTTTGACAGGTATAGACAATACTGCTGAACCCTCAGAGTAAAGAGGCAGGTTTCTCGATGCACATCAGTAACACAGCCAGTTCCTCTTTTTAATCGGAAAACACATTTGAAAACTTAGGGATGGCGCTAATTTAAAATAAAATAAAATAATAATAATAATAATAATTCAATGCATGTTAATTTCTACAACCACCTGGAAATGCTGAGGAATAAATCACAGGACAACACTACTCAGCGGGACAGCTGCTGCATAGACGTTAAGAGGCTTCAAATGGACGACGAAAAGCCAAGCAAATGAGGGCTGTGTGGGTGGCATGTACAACGAACACAGAGTGCGCCTACTGCTGACTGGCACGCTGTCTACACGCCGTACCTCGTGGAAGCCCCAACACGAGATTCACTTGCTCGTCAACCAGTCGGGGGCAAACTCCCTAGACGTCGGCTAACCTCGGCTGGGATTACAATTAACTCTGGTGAAAGCCTAATTGGTGCGATTGACCTAATTTCCCTCGAACGCTGTTCCAAGCTCCCATTCAGACTGCTGATGGTTAGTGTAAGTGTGACAATCACGACTCTGGTCATTCCCATTTCAAGGTCCAGGGTCTTGATGCCTGGTTTCTGAATATCATGCTTAAAGTCCCTACACGATAATAGAATTCTTAAAAAATATATAGCGATAAATAACTTTAAAAACCAGCAACTGACAACATTAAATTGCCTGTAAGAAGCTTCGCTTTCCTGTGAGCCGCTTAACGGGATGAGGCTTCAACCCCCACGATGGACACGGTCATGCAGCTTTGACCCTGGAGAGTCTGCGGAGGCCGGACTTCTGTAGAAACGGAACCACGCTGGAAGACGAAGCGCTTTCCGACCTGACAGACGATACGTGATTTCACAGAACATGGTAACTAATATGCACACACATTTCCAAAAAACACAGCGATGCTAAAATATTAACTAGGTGGTAAAATATCATACATGCACATCTGAAATCAATGGACTTAATATATACATTTAATATTTAGCTATCAAGTTATGCTTTTATCCCTGGTAAAGTTTTGTTCTGAAGATGCATAATTATAATTAGGTCACAAGGTCAAATAATATTCTGTTCCCATCCTGAAGTACAAGCCTGCGCTATATCATAAATTATAGGCTGCAGTATAATTTTTCGATATGTTGCGTCAAAAAAAGTTACTTTTCACCTTGGGATGATTTTGCTATGTAAGATTCTCACTGGGCTGATGTGGGTAACCATGACAATGCGAGTGAGCTCTGTATCCAGCATACGCAGGCAGCCCATTCTGAATCAACCCTAGACTCTGCATGACCTCCTTTAACACTCTACACTGGGAGGGGGGGGGGCAATCTTATCCACAAAGGGCCAGTATGTGTGCAGCTTTTTGGGATAACCTGTAGGACAGCTGTTCAAACCCAGGTGTGAGGACTCTTCAGCCAATCAGTCCTCTAATTAGTAATCTAACTAAGGAGTTGCAGCGAAAACCCGCATACACACTGGTCCTTTCTGGATAAGATTGCTCACCCCAGCTCTACACACTAGCATTTATTATTGTTTTTTGTGTTTGCTTGGAGCTAAAACAGTGGAGAGACACGATCACGTCTGGATTTTTTTTTTTCCTTTTTAAAGCAATATTAAGGATATGACAGACACTGAGACGAAGCTGCGAAACGCTATCAAAGGCACGTTCCAGGAGAGATGGGGAGAGAGAGGGAGGCTGGGCCAGGCCGGGCTGGGAAGGCTACTTGAGCAGGGCGCGGTAGAGGAGCAGAGAGCGCGCCGTCTCCCGCTCCTGCTCCATGTAGAAGATTAAGTCCCTGAGGTTGACGCGGGTGATGCGCTGGCGGGAGTGCTGGCGCGAGGAGGCGGCGGGGGCGGAGAAGCCGGCCGGGGAGCCCGTGGAGCAGCCTGAGACCTGTGGGGAAGGACAGCATGTTACCCATGTGACCTGGAGAGAGCAGGGGCGTCCGAGCGTACGCGGCATCAGGCAGTGGCAAGCCGCCGACAAGCAGCCCAGAGAGGCGAAACTCAGCACGTCTCTCAGCCGCCGGGACTTCAAAGCCGGCTCCCGGGAGTCTAGTCGTGGCTTGTGCGCCTTCATAAGGAGGTGGTTATAGCCCCCAGCACAGAGCCACGCCTGGCCCTAAAGTGGGTGACTCAGCCGCGATCATCTCACCGCGTACGGGCAGCCAGCGACATCTGCCTTCCGGGCCATTCACATGGCACCTGGCACATCTCAAAGTGTGCACCCCCGCTCCGAGGCGCAACAGTAGAGACCCCAGTGCAGGTACCGATTCGGATGAGATCGGGTCGGGTCGACACCTGGCCTGTCCCAACGTAGTGTGAGGAAGGAGGGACTGGAACAGAGGAGGCATAAACAGCAAAGGACTGACGCCCCATCCTGAGGCCATCTGCGAAGACAAGCCAAGGATGAGTCCTGAGGAGCAGAGTGTCCCAAACAAGCCCAGGAGCCCAGCAGCCCACTGTGCTGTAGCAAATGTGACTGGCATCGGCACCAGGGGAAGGAAATGTGGACCGGGAAGGACAGGGACCCTGCACACTCCCCCGGGGCTGCCCTGATCCCCGTAACTCCCTGTGCTCACCACGCCCAGCTCCACTCCCTTGTCCCAGTCGACAGGGGAGTTCACAGCCTGCTACCTTTAAGTCAATACAAAATAAGCCATAGGATCTGGTAACAACAGCAGCAGGGCTGGGCTCCTCCCCGCGCTAACCTGAGGGAGCAGCGAGGCCGGGCCGGGCCAAGGTCAGCAAGCCGGAACCACATGTACAGGCATCCCGGAGGAGCAGCCAACACAGTGAAATGACACAAAGATCAGCTCCTTCCTGTTCCTGTTCAGTGATACTGTTTTAATAGGTTAGTAATGATTAAGGACCTTCGGCTGCTATTGCTAGTTAGCAACGGCTGACCACGTCCTTAGAAACTGGCAGTTAATTGACATCCTTCCACCCGGGACGCTGTCATTGAGGGTTTCGATACAGGATAACGCCAGCAAGGCCGTAGAGAAAGTGATTTTCGTGACAGCAGCCTAAACCATAAAACGGCGCGCATTTTCCTGTCCGCTGCTAAACCGCAGACAGCGAGACCAGGCAGCAGCTATAGCAGAGGCTGCCAGAGGTGAGGTAGAACGTAGCTACATCTCAGGAGGCTTCTCCTCCCCTTATTTAACATGCCTCATCTGCCACTGTCTCCATTGTATTTGCCCACCATTAAAAGATTAGTTTCCAAACACTGCTAAATCTTATCAGAGCCCAGTTTAGCTCCTACGCAGCTAAATTTACTGTTAGCTGAATAATGTATGTTTCGGTTTCGTTCACAGTTGCAGCGCGATGAACAGCTTTCCCTCCCCTCTTTCTGTCCATCTTTCCATATCAGAATCGCCATTTTTCTTTTAAGTCTGATCGCTGATGTCACATCTCTCTAGCACCAGCCTTCCCAGCGCCTGTAAATACTGAACCTGGTTCTTGTCAACTTCCCAGGAAACAGGGGCTGTGTAAACAGGGAGAAGGATCCCACAGTGGGACTCTTGTCTGTCACCTGTCGGCACAGCAACCCTGCCGTCGGCATGACGACACTGCTGTTGGGGCAGTCCAAATGGTAGCTACAAATATTCATGGCCCCAGTTGGACGCGGGGGGGACCAGGCTGGAAGATGGAAACAATCTTTACGTAGGACACGACAGAACACACTGAACAGCAGGCCCACCCAGGTCGGGCCGGGCACAGAACCCTGTAGGGCTGTTGCTCTCTACTACAGACCAGAACTGGTTCACGTTTGTTCTCAGGGAGACGGAAGACACGCAAAATGTTGTGGCTGAAGCGATACGACATACATGACTCCCACCCTCATGACGTCACAGTCCTGACGCGCCTCATTTGAAGGCTTCCCAAGTCCAGGCAAATGCACAGGGAATCAGCGTAACGGCTTACAGATGTGTGTGGCTCTCAAAAGCCGTATGACTCCGAAAACTATGAGTAAGAATCCACACAATTAGGACAGAGGATAAAAGGGAAAACAATGCAAGAATGGAGTGACCTCTGCTAACGACAGTGTGGAGACGGTATAAAGGCTTCTTGTTGGGGACGGTCCGCGCGAGGCTCAGACTGACAGAGATCCACCCGGCTGCCCTCCAGCTACAGGACACCGCTGGAACAGAGTAGTGAGGCGGTGCAGTAGGGAGCCTGTTTAACCTTGCTAGAGTTTAAAAAAATGCTTTATTTAAGGGCAGGGTCACTTGTTTTCCTCTCCAGCTTTTCGTTTTACCCAAAAAAGCGGAAAATAAAAATAGCTCCTTCCTCCGTCCGCACAGAGAGGAGAGAACAAGCATGGCCGTCCCTATCCCGGAGAAAAGGGGGGGGGGCATCACGTTTGGAAACATCGACGGCAAAAAAACAGTCACCGTGCGCCAACCGCATGTCGCCCAAACTGGCGATCGCCGGAGCATCCCCACGCTGGCATAAAACATGAAGTCCGCCGCTGCTGCCACGGCGACGGGGTTTCAGTCAAGGAGAAAGGAGGAGAAATAAAAAAAAAACTCCTTATTACTTCTACCTCCTGCAAGCCATTTTGGTCTCCAAAGGTTTGAGGGCGCCTGAGGCCGTGTGTCTGCAGTGTTTCGGGAAACGACTCGCCTTCGCACGAACAGCGCTCTGTTGTGCTGCGCCGCTGCCCCTAGCGTCCCTGCTCCATTTCTGTTTAACCCTTTGCAGCCTCGGCTAGTCGCGTCAGTCGTGTGCCCCCTCCCGTGCTCCCTGCCTGGCCTAAACCCAAGCCTGCACCTCCGACGCGGGAAAGGGAGCCTTTTAAAAACCTCCGGTCGACACGAGGAGAGATGTGAACGAGGAGCTCGGAGGTTCCGCCGGTCCTGTGCCGGAGCACAGTGTCACTTCACAGTTAAATGCATATTAACCGTTGATTAAATCTGCAAACTGGTTGACACAACACATAATTAAAACATTTGGCTGCAGGTTAGGAATTTTCTAATTAGTGTGGCGTCGACGTAGCCGCGTGGCCTTGGGTCTGCAAGTCCATGGGTTAGAGTCGAGATGAAAGCTGACCCTCCCGGCTGGGCTCCAGAGGACCACTCGCAAAGGGGGGGGGGAGGGGGGGGTCACAGCCAAGAGGCATAAAAAGAGACCAGGTCCCTCTCTCTGCCGGCGCAGGGGAACACTTCCGGGATAAAAAAAAATGTAATAATTTTTAAGGAGGAGGTTGGACCGGTTCTCCTGGTGCGCAGCAGAGACAGCGGGAAAAGTCAGATCCAAATCCCATACTGACTGCCACCAGAGCGCAGCAGGAGTGGGGGTGCGGAGTCAGGGACACGATCAGAACCTCAAGAACATTGACGCACCCCCTGTGATCGGACTACAGCATCGGGCCAGGTGCCTCTTGCTCCTCTTGGGCTGTGAATCTCTGCGGCATTAAATATTCAAGGCGTTTCATAAATAAATGGAATCCAATTAAAGTTAACATGGGAGATGGGTAACGAGCCTGCTGTCTTAGCCCACGCCTTCATCGGTTTCGGCTAATGAGGCATTGTTGGTTTTCGCGCCCTCCTCTTCAAACCGGGAGGCGCTGTCATTATTCAGTCCGGGTTCGCCGAGAGGCCGCTGACTGACTCGTTAATCTGCGCCTTTCTTACGGAGTGGCGTTCCGCAGCGTGTGGCCTCACCTCCCGAGAGGGCAGCATCTCTGTCCCGGACCGGAATGACCTGGCGTGCACAGAGCCTGACAAGCCGCCGTGCTCTGAGCGAGCGCCCCGGGAAACGTGGGAACACGTCTCTCGCTACAGTGCCTCCATGGGAGTGCGGCGGAAACCCCTTTCTCCTGAACACAATGAGACATTCATAAACTGGGCGTCAACCCGGGGCTGTGCTCACCTGCAGGCTACTGGCACTGACAGACAGCCCCGGCTGGCGCACACACACTCGGAGGATCCGGCGCCATCTCACGGCTACACGTGCAAGGCGGCAGTGTGCCGCCCAGATCAGGCGCGGGGACCAGTTTAAAAAAAAAAAGCGGCATGCCGACGTTTATTTCAAAGAAGAAGGAAAAAAAAACCCGTAACCTTGCATAAATTACGATCCCAGAATCCACCACCCACTGCCATCTCTGCATCCGACAAAGCGATAACCAGAGATATCCAAGGGGAGAGAGCAGAACAAAACATCTGAAATTAAAAGAAAAAAAAAAACCTGATTAAGTTACTTTGGAAGAAAAGGCAAAAACAGACTTAATATTTAATAGAAAAAGGGAAACCAAGTGTCTGACAAAAGCTGCGTGATTCTTGGAAAGGGCAGGTCTCTCATCTACCACCTGCTGGGGGGGGCTTCCGCTGGGCGTTTGGCACCTCTCAGACAGCTCCTCGTCCCATTCGGACGCAAAGTACAAAAGCCCCAGTGTGGGGGTTACAGGAGAATGTTCCAGAAGGCACGCCACGATGCCACGGGGACAGCTGAGGGAGGCGTCTACAACTCTTCCTCCACCAGGAGGGAGAAAGAGGAGGTGTCTATGGAGAGTCAGACAGACAGATAGCCAAACCCAGGTGTGATGTCACAAGCTGGCTGCTTTCCTATTGGTCCCCGGACACAGCAGTCGCTCCCACTGCTCTCCACTGCCTCCACGACTTCACCTCCAAAGCTTCCTGAGAAGACTGTTTAAAGAAGGTCCCAATGGCTCATCAGTACCTGCGCAAGTTTTTTTTCTCTTCCCACAACAGAAAAAAAGAACCTGACTCCTTCTATGTATATTCATTATCTACATATTGACTCAATTTAAATCCACACCCTTTCCTGCAATGTTAATGGTTTGCCTTGTAAAGGCAGGGTGCCCGCCTTCCTCTGCTGCGGGCGCGCCCACTGGCACGAACTCCAACTTCCTAACAGAGCCTGTAGGGG